TAAATGTATGCGTATAGAATTACATTCAGCATCGTTTTGCGATGTACGTGATTTAATACACCATGCTATGAACACAACAGAAGTCCTAACCCCGGAACCAGTACCTTACCGACTTCTTTGTAGTTATTTGTTAAATGATTCCTTAACGTATCTCGTAAATAAGATACAATTACACACTTAACACAAAAATATTGGAAAAACAATAATTAATATTCACGAAAATATTTCCATCAAGAAACATGCTGGATTACCCTGTGATTATTATCGTAACTATCACCGAGTAGGATCCGTCCGTCAATTAATTATCAAGAATTTCGTTTCCTTGGTTACCAATAATACTATTTATGATGTATATAATATATTAACTCTAGAATTTTAGCCTTCACTCACACAACAAGTGTTATTATATCGAACATTGTTTTGTTGACACATTGAATCAATAATTATCTCCGACCAAAATGTCAAACGTCTATTATAATTAAATATTTCAGTATTAAATAAATAATGTCCGAAATTTGGACAATTACCGCAATCGGAAAAACCTAGGATTTACGGTAAAGCCTAGATTTCACCGGTGTTCGTAATATTATCGTAACATATATATTATTACAAGTCGTTCCGACGATATGGTGTGTTTACCGTTCTATGAACAGAAAATCCAATTTGATTGGATTTGATTTTATATATATATATATAAAGCAATAATTATTATTTTTATTTTATTTTAAAGTTTTAGACTTGTAAATTTCATGTGATGCATATTAGAAACATGTTCGTATAAAGTGTGGTTTTCTTAATTTGTTCAGTATCTAGTTATTTATAAGCCACGAAATTTATGCAATGGATTAGTGTATAAGTCTGTTTGAAAATTGTGTGTAAAGTTACAGTCAAGTAGACTGTACTTTTCTCAAACTGAAAGCCGAACCCGGAGCTTTATGAAATAATTTCAATTTCACATGCATAATACCTATTATATTTATAAAATGCTTATCTTTGATAATTTTGAAAATCTAAATTGTTGTAATATAATTAATAATAACGATATTTTAACGAACGATCGAAGATAAATTTTAAATTTAAAATATTCGAAATATATTTACCACCGAGCCTTTAGCACATATTTTTTTCACAACTATCATTTGCCATATCTGTGTACTCATCATCATAACGTACGTTGAAATTCGATGTATAATATTATAATATAAATTTAAAACGAAAACATTTTTTTCTAAAGGTACGGTTTCCTATGTGCGCTGGCCGCATACGACTGAACGCAAAGACTAGTCATAACTACTGAACGTTGCGTATCGACTGGTTTCCTAAATGCGACTTTACTTTGCGGCTGGTGTATAATGGTTCATTTTATTCCAATATTTATTAGTGTACAGACGTGTTTAGTTTATAACTTTATATTTTAATAATTATTGTTATACCTTACATATGTTATGAACTGCGAAGAAGGAGATTTTTTTACAACTCGAAAAGATGAAGTACTTTTTGAAATTCTAATAAATGGACATTTACATAACAGTAAACAGAAATTCCGCGAATTTTTTCGTACAAATTGAGACCAGTTTATGTTCATTCTTTCGTTGATAAAGGATGATATACAATTACCTCCGTCTAAACGAGTTAAAAAACCAATTCGACCTGACGAAAAAGTAAACTACTTCCACGACTAAAATTTCGTCTTCGTTTGGCAAAAATTTTGACATCATAGTTTTTAACATTATAATTGTTTAAATAATTATAATAGATTCGCCATAAATTACTTAAAAATAAACTATTGATTAAAACACACATGCGACTCATCGACAACACTGCTATCGGATCACTACAGTTGCAAGCCGCAACCAGTTTTGCCAAAATGCATAACTGAAAATAAGAAAATATTGTATGTAAAAATGCTAGAAAAATGCCACTGAAAATTTATTTTGTATATCGTTTAAACATTCAACTTCATTAGTTCCAAAACCGGTGTCAGTGGCTCCTTAATTACTCTTAAACAATTTTTTATAAATATCATTGACACTTTTTCCATTATACCAATATTTTGTGGTAAGCGTTGTTACAATTGCTTTAATAATATTAGAAAAAAATTAACTAACCTTTCTTTAAATAGTTTTTTACTCTTTTCTGATAATGTACTAGCTTGTAGTATTTGTGAAAATGCATAGGGCCATTGTATATTTGGACTGGTGTAACTATCCATATCACATGTGAGGGGGGATCTTCTCGACAATAGGGATTTACAAATATTTTAGCTACTGAGCTCATCAAAAGTATCAAATCACTTAGCAATTTGCTTTGATCAGCATTATTAAATTCAAAAGACTTATTTACCATTTGTATTTCTTTCAATACTGGATATAATAAGTTAAATAAGCTAAGTTATTTGAATCGCAATATATACCATACAGCACTTCTGTAGTTATGCTTTTATGCTTTTTTTTTTTGACGAGTTATTCCAAATAGGGTTTTTAATTCAGCCTATTGAGTTAATATACGATCAACAGTTGTTTCAATGGAGAGCCATCTTGTATCGCATGCCTTAACAATTTTAAGAGGAATATGACCATCATTTATTGCGCTCTATACATTTTTATATTGAGCCTGTCTTAATGTAGAGTATCTGAACTAATTGAAGGTTTCTTTAATCAAATAATCAATATTCCTGGGTAATGCTGCACTTGCTGCTGCCGACACTGCTAATTGCAATGAGTGACAGACACATGGAATGTGTATTAGGGAAGGAACTTTTTCCTTAAGTTTTGTGTAAACTCCATTATTAATTCCCACCATCACCGATGCATTCACTTCCAAGACCCATCATCTTTGTTATATCTAGTCCTTTTTGTTCAACGGCATCAGAAATAGCTTTTTGAATAGAATCTGCATCATAGCCTTCCATCTATACTAAAGCTAAGTAAGTAGAAACAATTTTACCTACTTTTAAATCAAAATACATAATCGTTATACCCAAAAACATCAATACACTGATGTCGGTAGACTCATCAATTAGGAGGCTAAATGATTGATCACCAATACTTTTTCTTAGAGTGGCTTGAAAATGTGGTGCTATGACATTAGATATAACAGTTGTACACTTTGTTCGATGCATTCTGATGTTTTTGCCTGCTTCTGATTCTTGGAATTGTTTCTTGCATAATATTCTAAGATGGTCACAAGATTAAATAAAACAATATATAGCAATAAATAATGCTAAGGCACCTTCTGCAGCCGCTGTCTTAAATGAACTTTATTGTACAAAATATGTCATTGATCGAGATGTTGAAAACGCTTTGGAGGACTCTTGATGCTTTTTAGATTTTGCATGTTGGAAAAGATCAAAATGCTTTGCATTTATTTTGGTCTTGTAGAATCGACTTCTACATTTAGTGTTATTATTATCAATTTTTAATAACCATGATTTAAATGACGAATCGATTAACCACTCTTCCCTAAATTTCTGTGGGTATTGAGTCTTACCCATACTTACAATATTAAACCAATAAATAACAGACAACATTACAACAGTACAAGTTAGAATACATAATAACAAATAAGCGAATAACACGTTATATAGTATAATTTATATTAAAATAACAACAGCATAAAATAATACATAAAACTTTAATATTGTTAAATATTTAATAAATAATTATAGTTCTATGCATCGAGATAAATGGCAATAGTTTTATTTTGGATTTAGACCATGATGACATGATACCTACTATCATTGATTTAAAAATCAATGCTGATAGACTAATTTATTGCTAAATATTATTTACTATTTACCACGGTTGTAGATAATATACGATTATACCGGACCCTTGTTTAATGCTATAACCGTGTCAAGGTGGATACATCCACCTTAAACCGTGCTAATTACTATCACGGTTAGATTTAGTGATTACGGATTATCATGTATTTTCCCCATAGATAAATGATAATATAAGATTGGTCGTAATAAGAAATTACCTATTTATAGTTAAATAATTATTAAAATATTGTATTATTGTTTAAAGAAAAAAAATATCAGTTTTTGAGAAAAAGCTAAAATAGCTGAATTGCCATTATTATAACTGAAGAAAATGCCATTTAAATAGCCACCGGCTAAATCAATATTTTCATAGCTAGACGTCGATTCAAAAAAGCTAGATCTAGCTATAAAACAGCTAGTTCGGCAACACTGGCCGCAACGACTATTTTCGACACGTACGCGTCAATCGCGCATAAGAAACCACGTTCGCAGTTTAATATAGATCAGTAGTTGCGACTAATCGTTGCGTTCAATCGCATTCGGCCAATCGCAGATAGGAAACCATACCTTAAGCGAGTTTTACCAATGTTATAAATAATATAATTAGTATCTAATGTTTCAGGTCACAGCTGGAGTTTATTTATTACTTATTTACTTATCACTATTTTGTCTGTACACTGTACAAAAATAATCGTAGGTTGTTATTTTCGCGTTTTCGTTTATCTAATTTATTAATTAATTTTTCTCTCTATAATTCAATTGAATTTTCACATTACATAGGTAATATCTAATATTATAATATTATCTAATATCTAATATTATAACATTATCTAATATATAATATTATTAGAAATCGAGAACGCGTCGTTGCGTAATTATAAGCATAATATATTTTGTTATTGCATATAAATTGGTATTTCAGTTGAATGGGAAATATTTTTTTTTTAATTTATATAAATATATAGAATGTCTACGAAAAATTCTGGACATGAGTTCCGTAAATTAAGAAAAGAAAAAGAAAAAACGATCGTATACTTTTAGTAAATTGGTTAATTTCATATATCCTTTCTGTAAATAATGAACTAAAAGGAAATGAAAACGAAAATAAAAATAATGATATTGAAGCAGAACAAAATGACCAATCTTTATTAAATTTTAATACATATATGTAAAGTGATATAATTATAAATAAAACCAATATATCTCAAAGTACATTTGACCTTAGCGATCCAGTAAAATGCCAATAATTACAGATACAGTTAGACTTCATATAATAGAAAATGGCCCAAAATTAATAGACAATATTGATCAATACACTTTTCTATTGGCGGATGACGGGAGACGATTTAACTTTAAATGGTTTTATAAGAAACTTCCCAATGGTGAAGATGTAAAACGCCAATGGATAATGTATAGTTGTTCAAAAAATGCTATATTTTGTTTTCCCTGCATATTATTTTCAAAAGACAAATATTCCACATTTTCTAACTCTTTAGACGGATTTTATGATTGGAAACATTTAAATCCATTTATACCTGCTCATGAAAATAATGTCCAACACAGAAAATGTTTTATGGAGTGTAAAGAGATAGAGAAACGTTTAAAAAACGGAAAAACAATAGATAATTTCATACAAAAAGCTGTAAATATCGATGAGGAAAAATGGTGCAATATTTTAAAAATCATAATTGACTTTATTCTTTTCTGTGCAAAAAATAATCTTGCTCTTCGAGGCACTTCAGATAAAATAGAGGATGCAAATAGTGGAATGTCAAATGCATTGGCGTTTTAAAAAACTAAATAATGTTGTTTCGGATTTTTCATTATTAATAGGCAAAAATCTACAATCATGGTCCACTGAATATTTAAAAAAAATATTCTGTTGACCTCGCGTTAAAATATTCTAAAGATTTAGATGCAGCTGAATTATTATCTATCAATTATTAATCTAAGATAGAATGTTTTAAGTTCCAAGCTGCATCATTAACATCTGATTTATGTGAAAAGTCACCACTCGAACTTTAAAACTTAATTCATACTTATACTCTTAATGAAACCTACCCAGACATAGAAATAGCTTTGTGAATTTTTCTACACTTCCCATCTCCGTTGCTTCGTTGGAACATAATTTCAGCAAATTAAAAATAATAAAAAATTATTTACGATCGTTCATTGGCCAAGACCGTTTGTCTAATATGGCAATAATCTCAATTGAATCAGAAATAGCTAATCATTAAATTATGATGACATCATAGAAGAGTTTGTGTCTATTACATCTTGTAAAGTAAATTTTTAGTTATTTGTTTTTTTTATAATGTAAAATAAATAATAATACATAGGTATGTAGTATAAAATTTTCAATAATATATTAGATATGTAGTATTAATACAAATAATATAATTTTTAAATTAAAATATAACTCTATTTAAATATTATTTATAACCCTCCCTTCTCTTTCTAAGCATAAAATTGTATATATATATATATATATATATAAATAGTAAATAATTCATTATAAATTTATAATATTGGTTGCCAGGGGCGCACATAAAGCTAGTTGCGGCACTGGCTGGAAGATACGTAACGGTATTGATTTTAAAAAGTGAATATAATACGTACATATTATAATATTCTATTTTAAGCATAATTCAGATTCGACAAAATTCATTAATTATAGAAATTAATAGCTTTGACCTTCGGTCAAATTTATGTGTACATTTAAAGTATACAAATATAATATTAATATTATATTACACACAGATTTTGATGTACCTATTCGTGCGTTGTGAATATGCACACAACGTTAAAAATTAAATTAAAAACAATGCGTATACTAAAGGATGTCTAACTAAACTAAACAATGGTTCCTACCTATTAATAATATCAGTAAATATCAGTGGAAATCCTCATTGGAGACAACGGGACAGTGTTTATGAATTTAAATTTGGTTAGTAAAAAAAGCGGTGTGCATATGTTGTATAGAGCAGTGAAAGATATTCCTGATTTATAAAAATTATATTTTCAAATTATACACATACAATATGGTACAGTAAAATTGACTTGTAATTCGTTTCCTACTATTATAAAATAGGTAATGAAAAAAAAATTATCCAATATAAAAACAACACCGAGGAAATGTAAGGACGACTGTTTAGGTGATATAATTTAATATATATATATACAATCCTGCTGGTTAGGACCATAATTTTATTTTATTTTATTAGTACATGCATTTCTAACCAGCATCGTCACTCATAACGGTTGAAAAACTCAGATGAAAACGGTCATTTTCGTTGAATTAATAATCCACATACGTTTTAAACTATTTTATTTGCTTTCAAATATTACAGTGTAACTGAAGAATGCTGATACGTAGATATTGAAAACATTAGAATTACGATTTCAATAATTAAGTTCTATTATAGCGTTTTCTTTCTATCAAACGTGTATAATTTTAATATTAAAACTAATAATAATAAAACAAATAATTGTTAACAATAATTTGGTTACGAGTTGAATAAAATTGTTCACAGTGTGTAGTTTTCGGATTGATATGGCACGCGCGTGTAGACGTAAAATGTGCGTTTAAAAACGCGTATTGAAATGCGTACTCGATCCGAAATACAAGTGTGTTTGCAATAATTGTTTTGGAATATTATCATGATTGTTGTATTGTTACAACGAACCGTACGGTCATTATTATCACTATTATTATCATTATTTTTCGATTGTTATTACTGTTGCTGTTCATGCACGAAAACCATACGACACGGATTATTATGCTAAATCTGCAGGACGAAATATGATACGTATGCGTTTATCCATCCATTATTTGCCAATCTATTCGGTGTAAAATACCTCTCAAGGAGTGAAAGAGAGAGTAGAAAAAGAAGAGAAAGAATATATAATATTATAACGGATTTCGAACGCGATTTAAAATTTACCAAACTATTATTTTAACATATTTCATACGTCGTTGGACGCCGATTCAACGTTAACTCTGTCACGCGGCTTTCATCAAATATACCGTAATTTAATTTTTAATCTTACGAAAATATGAATACTAATGCTCTAATTCACCCGTAAACTAGGTCATACGGGATAAATGTTTTTAATTTGATAATCCCTTTTTTATACTTCAATACGCGGAAAACATAAGTGTTATAACAAGACTATAATTTTTCAGATTTATAGTTCTTTTTTATACCTCTTGAAAAGTATCTTTCCTGATGATATTACTCTATTTTCAAATGGCAACATCTTTTTTTTAACCTCAAAATTATGTACGAAAACTGTAAAATAATATTGAAAATGTAATTAATATTATTTTTTTTTTTTATGGTAAACCACCTATATATATATATATACTTTCTATAGCTTCAATATTATGCACTAAAAATACTATATTATGCGTGATTTGGTACCGACATGTGTATGGACAACAGAGATAAATATGTATGGATGAAAATAATATCGGTAAATACTAGTTATTACTTTTACGTATTCTCATTCTTCACGCCTAATATTGAATCAAACCAACAGTTATTTGTGTACCAAATTCTCGAAGGCTATTCAACTACACAAAACTATACTCAGTTTTTTATTATTCAATTTAAAAAAATTCAGAAGTGCTGGTTCATATTTTCACTATGTTACATCAACAATTCAAGAAAAATAAACTTAATAATTATATGAATAAAAAAAATGGTGTTTCCGTTTAAAAAAAAAGTGTAGTATACTCATTAGGAAATGATAAAAAAAAAAATTATGTAGTTATTGAAAAATATAGTATTTTAGTATACATGTTTTAATGTACACTTTCTGAACACGTTCACTTTGTTTTTATGCATAGATGATGTATTTGATAAAATTATGATTAAAAAAATATATGTACTATAAAAATGTATTTTCTAATTCATAGATTTTTTGAATCTATTAAAGAATACCTTGTAACAGTATGACTTTTTATATAAATATAAATAAAAAAATTAAATAAATAATAATTATAATTTTTGTAATAATAAGTACAATATAATTTTATGTATAAAGACAAACTAAAGCTGTTTTTGTCGTAAGATCCTAATGAAGTACAATAATCTACGTTTTATAGTTCATTTTTCATTAATAAGAATTTGGAAAAATGCATAATATTTAAGTATGAAAAGAAAATTATTGTGTTTAAGAAATCATGCTGTATAAGCATGAATCATTAAATTATACGGGACAGCTGCGCCTTCACTCCGTGTGTTCTCTTATATCAGCGTTATCAGAGTTACTAGAGTTGTGGTAGCAACTATACGGGAAATGGGATATTTCCAGATTTACATGTAACTGAAACGTTTGCGGTTATCTCATCATTCGGAGAATGTTTTATATCTACTTTGAGTGTATACAAAATAACTTAAGCTGTACATACTATTTGCGCAATTGTGATTAATATAATCTGAAAACGAATTCACGGTAGGCATAGTAAACATATAGTAAAATGTACATATATATATATCTGTCGCCTTTGTTAGTTTAACAATACTAAATAATGGCATTCGAATTAATATATTCAGTATTAGTATTATGAATTAAAATCAAGCACTTCAGCGGGATATACAATTCTTACAACACTTTTAATTTTATCGTAATTTACACATTATTAATATTTCCATTATTTTTAATAAAACGTTTAATATATCCCCAAAGACTAATACATTTATCATACATCAACATAGTTGTCCATTTTCTTGAATAATAATTAATTAAAGTATAAAGTCAAAATGACACTGAAATAATTAGAGAATAGTGTTAGGTAAAAAATAATTATTAAGGATATAAGCTCATTAAAATAAATTTAATAAGTAATGCCAAATAAATGTCAAAAAAATAAATTGAAGTGGTTTCAAACTTTGAAACTTTTATTAAGAATGTAAGAAGAGTTTATTTAGTACATGACGTGTAGAAGGACGATAAAGGAGGTTAATTTGGAAGCCGAATAAATTGAGTTATAGTAATACATAAAATAGTATAGCAATTTTTGAGTAATACTAATGATTACTTAAAATATTGGATTTTTTTATCACTTGATGATGAATACATGAAGAGTACATGAAGAATATACAAAAAATCTAAAATAATAATAAATATTTATGCTCTCATTGTTTTACACTATTTATACTTTATTTACATAGTTAAGTTTTTCAGATTTAACTGCATTTTTCTAGAAAAACGTAGTGAAAAATATTTATTTTTTTTTATTTATGTTCAAATATTGAATATCAATATTTTTGAATTTTGTTTGGTACCAAATTTATCTTATTTACTTGATTGTAAATATTTAATGATACTTAGGGATGTGGATATCGTTTAAGTAAATTTGTGAAACCATTTTTCTACTTATATGTTATAAATAATATTTTTTTAACGATTTAACAGGTTCTCTTTGTTGATACACTTTTATTACTATTGTAATAAATACTTTATGGCCATACAAAGTCTATATTGGAAACGTGAGACACAAGGTTATGATATAAGAGTCGAATAGGTATTTATTAATAATAATTTCTGAAATAAAATCGAAATTTTTTCGTTAAATCGCATTACAATCTATGAGACTCGATTTCGCAATAATAGTTTCCACGTTATAAAAGGATACAATTGTTTATCTAAATGAGCTAATAATAATAATTATAATTGATCTAAAAGATTTAAAATACAATAAATAATTTTGCTAATTATTTATATTGTTCGTGCAAACACATAAATAAAGATAAAATTAAAATGTTATCACAATATTATTTGATT